TCGTTGAAATCGATGTGATAATTTCTGCAGTGTTTATGAATGGAACTGTGGTCCCAGAGAGAGAAGGCAATAAGGACTTATGAAGGAATTGTGGAGAACACATGTGGCTGACAGTATATTCCAAATTTCAGGCTTAGCTAGAATTCTAATTTTTATGGCCGCAACTTTCCATTGCTCATTATTCAGACAGGCTCAGTTACAGAAAGTGATCTTGTCAAAATAGTTAGAAAAACTGCACTAGAAACTCCTTTAATATTTCTTGAGCAGAACATACAATTTTGGGTACATTTTTAAGGGACATCAAAATTTGTCACTCAAAAAGAATTGTGCCGATTTTGCAACTAAATTCTTACCTGAAATGCACATGGAGTCAGCAACTGGCAATGCAAGTTAAGTTTATAGTCTGTCAGAGCTAATGGTGCGAAAAGTTTCAATACCTCTCTGATAGCATGTAACTCAGTCCAGAAGTCAAACACAGGCAGTAAAATAATCTAGTTCAATAACTGAATACCCAAATTAACAAGCAACATGTGGCTACCAGAAACTATACTTAATAGGTGGGTACAATTCCAAATAAAAACTTGCAATGATAAAGATGCAAAAATTCTCTGAGTTTGTAAGTCTATATCTGACTAATATAGATTATATTTCCATTGATTATATTTGCCTTGAATACACTGTTAAAATGAAACTGTCTTATGGACAGAAACAATACTTATTCTCTTAATGTGCTTTAATCAAGTTGATTATTTTGTAGTCTTTGCCTTGTCAACATCAATAAATACTGACAGGTTGTGTATAAGTTTATGTCATATATTTGGAAAAGCTTCTTTTCTTTACTAGTTCGCCATCAACTAGATGAGAAATATAGGTGATATATGCTGATACATTTTGAAAGTGTTTGCTTTATTATCTACTAGAGGCCCAGTGCATGAAATTTGTGCACTGTGGCGGGGAGGGCCTATCCCTCGGCCCAGCCTGCACCCTCTCCAATCTGGGACCTTTTGGGGGATGTCTGACTGCTGGTTTAGGCCCGATCCCAGGGGGACTGGGCTTAAACTGGCAGTTGGACATTCCTCTCACAATCTGGGACTGCTGGCTCCTGATCGCTTGCCTGCCTGCCAACCTGATAACCCCTTAACCATTCCCCTGCCAGCCTGATCAATGCCTAACTGCTCTCCTGCTGGCCCGGTAATCCGCAACTGCCCTCCTCTGCCAGCCTTCTTGTGGTGACCATCTTTGACCACATGGGGGTGGCTATCTTGTGCAAGGACATGAGGGTCAATTTGCATATTACCTATTTATTACATAGGATATTGCAAATTATGTAGAATCTATTTTGGGGTAGGAGATATGACTTTCAAGGTGGTTAATGGTTGATTGGTCTAGGACTCCAGCATGCTTTCATTCTGTTTCTTTCTCAGTTGTTAGGGGACATACCTGTAAATTTAAGTGTTGCCAATTTCTTACTTGCAATATTGAGAGTATTTTCTATTTTTAATATGGGTCAGTCCCATATTCCCTTGAATCTACTTTATGGAATGTGTATTGTGTACTTTATAGATGAAAGAAAAAGTGAGTTATCAATATAATACTCAGTTCTCCAAAGTGACTAGCAGGTTGAGGTCTATTAAGTTCAAAAAAGAAAAGTACATTTTTAAAAAGATAATGGCACGAGAGCACTATTTTTCTCTTAAAATCATAACTACTTGTATTGCACAGAGTGGTAGAGTAGTTAACAACCTGCTTTCTTCTGTGAAATATGTTGACTTATTTTTTCACTTTATTTTTCTAAAATTTCCATTATTTGATCTTAGAAATTCATAAACCCAAATATATGTGTTACTATTTTAGGACTATTTAGATTTTAAAGCAAAATTTATAATTCAAGAATTATAATTCAAAATTCAGGTAAAGATTATTAAAATATACTCACAGGACAGGACTAAAAATTGATAATAGAACAGTCATAATGATTCCTTAAATACAGGAGCTAGGAGGTGGATGGACTCTCCAGGTGAGTAATTGTTATGGAGAAACATCCAGAAATGTTGAAGAAGGTTTAAAGACTCTGGCTGCCTTATCAGACTTGGCTCAGTGGATAGAGCAATGGCCTGTGGACTCAGGATCCCAAGTTCGATTCCCAGTGAGGGCACATACATGTGTTGCAGGTGATCCCCAGTAGGGGTCGTGCAGGAGGCAGCCAATCAATGATTCTCTCTCATCATTGATGTTTCTCTCTCTCTCTCTCCCTCTCCCTTCCTCTCTGAAACAAATAAAAATATATTTAAGAAAAGATAAAAATATTTCAGAATATCCATATTAGAACTGAAATTTATATGTGGGTAGTGTATATGCACACATTTTATTTTCTCAATATTAATAGTTTTCTCATTGGCTCAATTTGAAATATTAGGGTTTGACACAAGAATTGTTCAGGCACATACTACCTCAGGATGCTAATTACAATGTGCTTTTCTAGTTTGAAAAGATCTATACATGTTCATTAGAAGGGGCACATTCTTTTAAAAGTTTTGGATACAGCCTTGTCACTGTGGCCACATGAGTGAAGGCTGTCATAATATTTTCCAAGTGTGATAAGACAATGATAAGTTTACATACCTAAGCAAAGGATAATACTTTCTAAATAGATCCCTACCACCCCAAGACCCCTCCTGACAATTTTCTCATGGCTAGTATTTTTATATTAAGTTTAGAAAAGACATTTTTAATATTCTCAAATATAAACATAAGTAATGTGCATGAATTTGTTTTTGGGTCATAAAATTCATTATATCTCTGTTTGCTTCTGACAGAATTCACTTAACTTAAGCAATGATGGAGAACTTTTGAAATAAGACATGTAAAGTATAGAAAAATGCATTCAAGTATTTCAGAGACATATTAAGACCATGTAGTTTATCATTACTTTAAGCTACCTAGCTTATCCTCAGAGAATACAAACAACATATCTTGCTCTTATCTATCTTTAGTACAGGAAAATATTTCTGTGCTTTTATTTCATCTACACCCAATGAAGAAGTATATATGTTTAACTTTTAGCAGTCTATCGCCTTAACCACTTGGCCACCTTGTCAGCTGCATATGTTTAACTTTTAGGTGCACAGTCCTCAAAATAACTAAAGCACATAGTACTAACTCCCTTCAGTTGTGACATTTACATTTAGTGGCAAAGATGATTTTTTTCTAATATTGTTTTAAATTTTTATAAACAAGGGGAATTTGTCCTTTTAGTTACAAAAAATTGTTGAACATACATTAGTTTTTAAAAGTTATTTTTAAAAGTTAGAAGTGGATAGACCAGAGTTCAAAAACATTGAGAAATTTTTAGCTTTAAATGGCAGTTCTTACTTTTAGTTTGAAATGATTAAAGGTCAGAAAAGATTGCCACCTTGTTCAAAACTGGCTTATTTCTCCCTCGGAATTCTGAGTTCATCGTTTTCATAATGTTTAAACCTTCCTCTGTTAGTAATTTGGCACACTGAGTTTCCATTTAGTGAATCTGACCAATAATCATGCATATCTAAAAAGCATTCCAGGGCTCTTTAAAAATACATTAATGATAAAAATAATGCAAAAAGAGCAAAACTGAAAAGTAAACAGAATCTGGTTCGTTTTAACTAAGAACTCTGTTACATAGTTGTACTTAATTACACTGCACAAAATAAGTTAATGCCCCATTGTAGTTGAAATAATTCCATGGGGCTGCTGATAAATTTGAAGTAAAAATTTTATTCAAAATTATTCACATCTAGTGAATGACTTATATATTAAAATCACTGATTCACAATTATATAAACTGTCAATCCTCACTTTATAGAAATAATTTATTTTTATAATTTAGAGTTAAAATCTTCCTTTCTCAAATTTGGAGCTAAGAGTTTGAAATCATATAACTTTGATGGGAAAACATTTATTATTAAAAATCTCTCATAAATCCAATTTTATATTCATTAAAGTCATTTTTATCAAAATGTAAATACTATAATACCATTGAATTTTAAAGTCTCATTCTAAGTTAAAATTTAAAAATCTTAATGAACTGTGTTCAATTATATCAAAACATTAAACATAATTACATGCAGACAATTAAGCAGCTATTAAAAGTCTAACAAAACAAGGGCTTGAGTTTTTTAGTGTTTGTCAATAATTAAAAACACATAGATACATAGTTAAAACACTTATTTAAACACAAAATGCTGTTTTCAGTATTTTCACATTTATTCAAAGACGTATGAAGTTAAAAAAAAGTAGATATTTATAAAATATGATCTCTTGAGCCATTCGTTTTAAATTTCCAAAGAGCAAAATGTAATATTCTAAACAAGTAAAGCTATTATCTAAATAATAGAAGTTCTTTATTTTAATCATCTAATTTGAATTTTTTTGTTATTACATAAGTTGGTCTGGTAGTATTTGTATGTACAATTTTCTATTACTATTAAACAAGTTTTCCATTGAATCAACTTATTATTTTTCCATCTCTAACTATAATATAAGAAAATATTTTAAAGCCTCAAGCTTCTAATTTACCTTCAACATTTCCCTTTTCTCTTGGTATAAAGTTCATTGTGCAAATTTTACTTTATAAGATTATTATTAAATTAAAAATAAAGGAATCCCAAGTAGTTTTCACATGTGCTATTATTTGACATTATATAATATACAAACACATTGGCAGTGATACTTCCACTTATGTGATTTACTATGAAAGAACAAATAAATCAATATGAAATAGAATGTCTATAATACATAAATATATATTTGGTATCCATTAAAAGAATCATAATTTGCCTTATAAGTTTGCACAGCAAATTATAATACCTTCCTCTATGCATTTTAATACAATGGTCATCATTATACACCACACACACACACACACACACACACACACACACACATATACACACACACCCTATGGTGATGACACTTCCTTTTGAATTGACTGGTTGCACTTGCATGACCCCAGAGACTTAATCTCATTGCTGATGGATATCCTCATGCCTAAGAATTTTATAGATAACCCAGTAGAAAATATTAAAAATCAAAAAGGCTAATGGGAAGCAGGCTCGGGAGATGGTGTCAATCTTCTTGGCCCGGTCAACAAATATCTTCCTCATTTCATCGGGGCTTTCTGGCATTACCTGGGCAGGACGGTTTGGGGCCTTGGGGGTCACGCTGTCCTTTGCTTGCAGACACGGTCCCATGCCATAGGCTGAGAAGCTGAATCGACTTTCCCTGACCTCATCATCCTGCCATAAGAAAAACATAAGAAAACACTTTAGTCATGAAATAGAGCATAATTAACAGCAATTCGGAACCATAACTTAAGCTTTAGCATGATAAATGTTAACATCATTAAAATGAAAAGACAAGTCTGTAAGTATGAGTTGCTTTATTCCCCTCTCAAGTTTTATTGATTGAACGTGCATCACATAGATGTGCCCATTAAGGAATATAAGACTCTCAAATTATATGTTTTAATGGAAAAGTAACAATTCTGGTATTGTCTATATATGTCTAGAATATCTAAATAAATGGAGCAAGAAAAAAAATCTATTGGATATTATGTCATATATATTCACAGACTAAATCTTTTTTACATTATGTATCTAAATGGTTAAATATGATGTCAGAGGAAAAAATACATGCCAGGATCATTGACTGAAATTTCATTTTTCATGGAGGCAAATATTTTAATGCTTATTTCCTACACTTTTATGTTACTTTGTTTCAAAATACAGTTTAGCTCAATAACTCTGGTTGATTTTTGCTATCCTTAATGCTACTCATATGTTTTATACTAACCCATTTGGCAGACTATAAAATAGTCCCAAATTCTGACTTATATATAATTACTTTTCAAGTGCATTGATTTAGTTGAAATTATTAATGAAATTTGGCAAAAGTTTATTTCATGTTAAAGAATATTATGAATTATGTTCTAAAAATTATTACTTTCTTTTAAATGTTATAAATTTAAGAGAATTCCCTATGCATATACATGAAAGAAAAATATAAACTTAAGGAAAAAATTATTAATAAAACTATAATAAATAAACACTGTTCATAATAGGAAAATATGGCATTTATTAATTTATAATAAAATTCATTAATGAGTGATTTAATTTGACAAATTTATTTAGATTGTAACAGTATATGGCTGACAATTAATTGAATTTTTTTGCACTAAGATTGAAAGTTTAAAAGATGACATTTTACAAATTTATCATAGCTTGCCTCTTATAGAAGTAATTTTTATAGTAATACAAAAGATAAAAGTAACTAAGTACTCAAACTCTTGAAAAATATTTTGTGTTTTGAAAGTAGAAGGCCAATGAATTGTATATTATGAAATATAAGAGTAATAAATAAAAATTAAAATAGATTCTAAAAATGAGATGATCAAAGTTGATGTAATAATTATAAAATTGGTTTCTGGTGAATTATAAAGTAAGGCAATTCCATCTGAAAGCAGAAACATATAATTACTGGAAAATATCTCAATGGCAGATATACAAGGAATTAAATTTTGAGGAAACCGGAATGACATAAAAGCTGATGATCCAAATCCCATGTAATTACTACTGTAATCTTGCAAAAAATGGAAGTTGATTTTTAGTAGTCTTCATAAGAATGTTCATTTGTGCTGGCAATTTGTTTTGCTTCCATGAAGATGTTAAGGTTATATTATTGTTTGTTTTGAAATTTTTATTACAAAAATGCTAATATTTTAGGATTTAGTAGCTGTGGTTAGCAAAGCAGTATCTATTGACTCTCCCTTTTTTCTAGTTTCATTGAGAAATGGTTAATGTATATCACTGGATAAGTTTAAGGTGTACAAACTGATGGTTTGACTTACATTTATTGTGAAATGACTATAATAGGTTTACTTAACATCCATTATCTTATAGATAAAATTAAAAATATATATTTTTATGAGGAAAACTCTTAGGATCTACTCTCTTAACCACTTTCTTATATATCATACACCAGTATTAGCTATAGTCATCATGTATGTTAAATGCCGAATGCTTTTCTAACTTATAACTGGAAGTTTGTACATTGTAACCACCTGCTTCAATTACTACCTTTCTGACCATCTGAACAAACCATATTTTCAAACCTTTGGAGACCCCCATCCCGCAAAACAGAAAAAGTCACTTAAGATTGACCATATTTAGTGAACAACTGTATTTTTCTCAACCATATCTTTTCAGATAACTGACTGTGAGTAAAGGGTTAATGCCAGCCTGCCCTGGGCTGTCTCAGGACTGCTGAGAGGAACTTCTGGTTCTTCCAGCATCACTTCCTTGAGAACAATAGAGTTCAGCTAAAGGGGGAATGTGGATTTTGCTTCATCAGCAGTGAAGGAGGCACCTGCTCTGGGGAGGCCATGCGTGACCAGTGGCCTACGTGACCAGACAGTATATAGGCTTGGTGGGAAATAAAGGCTGTGGCTTCTCTTGGTCAAGGTGACCACATCCACATGCCTTGGCTGTTGTCTGGCAGCTGTAGCTACATGTCGTGTGGGTGAGGGGCTAAAGAGCCGTGCTCTTGAGTGTCTGCCAGGCATCCCACTTTGAGGAAGATGCTATGTCTGATGGGAGGCCTGCCTCCCATGCCCCTGTAGGACTGAATGAACATTATATTAAGTTAAATTTTACGGAGCCTGAAGGGCCGGTTTGACCATGCAACCTCCAAATTTCGGCAGTGGAGACAGAAACGGACCTCGCTCTCAGATCTCAGATCATTGAAGACGCCAAAGGTTGAAAGGAAATTCTGAATGAGAATGTGATACTGATCCACCCTGGGTTTGAGTAGCGGCAACTCTTTAGAAAATAATGGGATAAATCTTACTATTTCATATCTTGTTGAATTTGTAGGTGAGTGATTACTAAAATTAAACAGAAAGGAACGAGGGTGAAAGGACAGAAAGGAGAGTGGCTCGAGATACAATTAATTCCTTGTCTCCTAATTAATTGATTATCTTTGAAACCACTCAGGGGCGGGGAAGAGAAACAAAAGCAAGGAAAGCAAGCAGCTTCAGGGCCTGCACTCAAAACGAAAACAGAGGTGGTAGGACTTAAAAGGACAGTGCACTTAACCCGATGTCACTTCTCCGGATTAGGCCTAAACCTGCAGTTGGACATCACTCAAAGGGTTCCAGATTACGAGAAGGCACAGATCAGGCTGAGGGACCGCTCCTGCTGTACATGAATTTGTGCATTGAGCCTCTAGTTCCAATATAAAGGAGCTGGGTCTCCATGGTTTTCAGGATCATGAGGTTGATTGACCTAGAAGCTGATTTTTTTTTTTTTTGCATACTGCGGCACAAAAGCAATGTTTAGTGTGAATGCTAGCTCCTAATTCGCTGCAGCGTTGCCATTCAGGAATTATTGGCAGGTGTATAATCAATGACCCTTTTTTGAGTGTGTGGAGCCCTCAGTGGTGGGAATCTATTCTGAGGAAGACTGTTGCCTGATTCTCTCACTGCTGTGAAATAGAATAGCCCTTTAGGGGAGTTGCAATTCGCTAATTTAAAAAATGAGCCTACCCAAACCTTATCCTCTGGCCTCCTCTCTGGTAAACACTGTGATTAGGAGAGTCCCTGGGGCACCAGTTCCCCAGATGGCTCTTTTTGGGAAGGCAGCAGGATATATATAATTCATGGGTACATTTGCTTTTGCAGCTGCCACGCTAGATTTTACTGATGGAAGAAAAAAAACAGAAAAAAAAAACCTGGGCTCTTCAGAAGAAAGGTCATGGCCAGAGGTGAATCTATTAGCTCTCTTTGGGTGGCTTTTAAGACACAGAAGAAAACTGACAGAATTCCTAAGACAGATTTCCTAGCACATTATTGCCCGCTGGGAGGAAGGAAATCTGTTCCAGTTCCGGCAGCTGCTTCCCTTAAGAATCCCTGTTAAATCTGCTGCTTTCATCTCAGAAGATAAATCCAATGATGCCAGTGGGGAATGGAAACAAAAGGCACTTATATGACTTGCTGAATTTACTCCATCCGTTAGGTCAGCTGAAACAAAGAACATTGACTTGAAGGCCAGGATCTCCCTGCCTAATTCTGAATGGGGTTTCCAGGCTACCCTACAGTAAAAGTTGGATATCCAGGAGTGGTGAACACAGCTTTGGGTGCCAGTGCACATGTACAGTAATGCTGCTGGAGAATGAGAAGGCTATACAAAGAGCAAAAGAGAACCTGGTGGGGCCGAGGAGGAGGCACAGTGATGCTGTGGTAGCAGGTATCATGGTCATAGGAGAAACTGCAAATAGGAAAATAAGGGACTAAGATATATTCAGTAGATGGCATTGTCTTTGGCTAAATGTATAATCAGAAAGGACGTGACATGTGAAGGAATGATCTTGCCAAATCTGGCTTGAGCCTAATTTTGGGCAATTGTTCCTTAGCCCAGATATAATTGGATATATTAAAACCAGAGCCCTTAGAATTGCCTGAACCTTCCTCTGTAGTAGCTATTAAACAGTACAAGATTCCAGGCAAATAAAGGAAGCTCTCGGCTTTGAGTAAGGGAATGGTGGTGGCAGCATTAATTTTCTCTAGAGCATTCGTGTCTACCCTACGTAAAACTAAATGGGCCCTGAAGGCTGACTACGAGGGTTCCCTAGAGATGTACCCTCCACAGCCTTCTGAAACCACTCAAGAGTTTCAGAAGAACAAGGGAGGCTGGTAGGCTTTGATAGACTTGACTAAAGCGTTCCTCTTCATCTCAATCTAAGAAAAGTCAAACACAGTGTGTCTTCTTGTGGGTAGACCCAAACTGTATAACCTAACTGTCACCCATCAAAGGAAACCAGAATTCTCCAGCACGTTGCCACAACCTGGTTGGAAACAGTTTGATTCGGGTCACTGTCAAAAGTAAGTTGGTTAATGAGAAATGATAGTTTCCCTCTCCAAGGAGAAAGTCAACAGAGGTTTTGGAAACTGCTGTGGCACATGTGACTAGGTAAAGGTGGCTAACCTTAACCTTGACAAACTACTAGAGACAAGTCACAAACAGTGAAGGGCAAACTGCTGTTTCTTCTGGATCCCACTTGAGAAAAACAGCTTTCAGGTTATACAACCTGAAATCTGGCAGACAAATTTTGGATTTATGCTGGCCACGCTATATGAAGTGACTAGAAGACAGATGGAAATTGAAAGGAGAACAAGAGATTTGAGGCAGGCCATAACCCAAGCTGACTCTCAGAGGCCTTAAAATTTGTCCATTGCAGAGGT